GATACCAAGGTGACCGACGCTAGGACAGAGATCGGCGTCATGGGTGAAGTTCTACATGAACATTGCCGCTTCATGGCGTACATGATCGGATGTGGAATTCATGCTTGTGATTCCTTCACTTAGGCCGAAGCTAGGGATCGCACTTGACGCTTTCATGTCTCACGTCATCAATAATTAAGGCTGAAAGTACGCACTGCCAAGCCGCCATTGAGCACAGTTTGATTTTCTACGTCTCTCTTGCGGGGTGAGCAAAGCCAAAGGCATCACTCATGGGGGGGTGTGAAAAGACATCGAAGCCTAGAGCATTTTGCTTGTGAGCTATGTAACCACCTGTTTGCCACCTTGAGAAGGCTTCGCCCATCAAGGAAGACTGAAGCTCAGGAGGACTTCGTCCACTGAGCGGAAGTCAAAGAAAGCTTATATCGGCGCATGGCTCAAGAAACTTGGCTCAAGCCAAATTAGTGATCAGGCACTAGTCATCCGCTTTGCTTGCCATTATCAGTGCGTACAGCCTTGGTGCAAAGACCGCAACAGACTTCGTCTGGCGCAGAGAAGGTCGGGACCGATGAAGCTGCAAGGGTTATTGTTCACAACGGTGGATTCGCAAACATTCTACTTCAACTACAAGCTCATCTGAGGGGAGCGAGGTTATACGCTATATCGTGTACCAAACCCTCACGCATATATATATATACCTTTGGTTTTTGACATATATTTTACAGCAGCTGCGAATACATTATCCGAACAGGAGGGATCTGGGTCGAAGACGACCTAGGCTCTTCCCCGGAGCTGCACGTCATGAAGCACAAGACTCACGGGGCTCTTGGATCGATGCACGACAAACTGGTCTCCTTCGATGCTCGCTGCTTTCATAATGTGGAGCCCCACGAGGGCCGAATGTGGGCTATCGCCGCATACACACCCCAAGCGTTCAACCGCTGCTCTCCGGAAAATCGCGAGGCAGCAGCAGCACTGGGTTTCCCGGTAGGATGATTGAGACGACGGCGCAGCGGGCAGGTGAACCAGGTTCAACGGGGTTCACCGGGGGTTCACGGAGGGTTTTTCAGGCCACCGAGGGCTTACCGGGGGGTTTTCTGGGGTTCAAAACCGGCGGACAGGGCAGATGAACCAGGTATCCGGTTAACCGGGAGCAACCGGGCAGGTGAACCAGGTTCACCGGCGGCGGCTCACCGGGACACTGGCGCGACAGGACGGAGACGACGGCACGACGACGAGCACTCGTGCTCCGAGGGCCGCGGCGGGTGGCACGACGACGGCACGACGACGACGGTTCGCATTTCGTGCGAAACTTGTGAGGTTAAGTATGAAATACCTAACTTAAACCGGTCACTTTGGATCTCGGTGAGGACGGCGGTGGGGATAGAGGTGGGGGGTGGAGAAGACCACGGCACGACGACCTCCGAGGGCCGGGGTGAAGACAGCGGTGAGGACGGCGGTGAGGACAGAGGCGGGGGAGGGACAAGACGACGGCACGACGATGAGCACTCGTGCCCTGAGGGCCGCGGGTGAGGATAGCGGTGAGGATAGAGGCGGGGGGGAACAAGACGACGGCACGACGTTCAAAAACAGTGGCCGCGAGTCGGTTGGTGCAGCGTTGCAGTGAGTGAGCGTTTGTACACTTGAAGCATGCATCTTGAGCAGTATGTGTGACATGAACGTGCAGCGATATTCCAACCAACATTTACACACAGATCTTGTGAACGTTTGAGTTTTGGAACATGCTTTTGGTTTTCTGTGGCTCAAGGCTTAGGGGAAGATGTTTGACAAGCCATGTTTGTATCTGTTGCGTGGTCCAGTTCATATAACAGATTATGAATGTATGTCATGTCCATGTGTGCTTCAAGCGACAGTGTAGTCGCAGCAGCATACAACATGGTGTGAGAAAACATTCTACGATTAATTTTTCACCAGTTACGTAGCTTCCCTCCCATTACCCCTGGACGGCACTGAAAACATAGGGTGCCGAAGCGTGCCATGTGTCAACAGAATTCAGACCTCTCTTCGGCCACGACAGAAAAACATTGATCCGAGTGAGCCAGCCATTGTTTACTTGATTGATTGACATTGAAACGATAAGGCATGTTTGCTCAGTGTACAATTTTTTTGGTCCCAGACATAACTTTTCATCCATGCCCCACACTTGGTTCAATTGATCGACGTACTTGCTTCGTGCGATCGTTCTGGAACTTCTGGAAAGCCCAGTGTGAGACCAGCGTAATCGCCGTATTCAATCTTCCGACAGGTTGACGATCTCGTTCTTACGAGCAGAGACAGTCTTCGACCGCTGCTTGCATCGCTGCTGTCCTTCCAGGGTGCAGATTGTCGTGTAGTTGCTCTTGTACAAATTGTTGGAATACGTCGTAAATTTCGTCGTAATTGATGTGACTTCTCTGGATTTGTTGTCCATGTGCCGGTGGTTTAGCAGGTACCATCGTTGGTTCATGTGAATGTGTTGGTGTGAGTTGTTTGTTAAGCAAACGTTGATTACATGCGAGTGGAAGGATGTTGAAACAGATGACAGCCTTCCAAATCATCCACTACACATCGCTGAGATGCAAGTTGGGTTTTAGGATGTTTTCGTGTTATGTTTTGCAGGCTGATATGTATTAGAAGATACCCACGACATCTCATTGATCAGTCGAAACGTCAATCGCTGCCACCTCATTCCCGGGAATTGTCGGACTTGTCCGGAGGGAATCCACGCAAGTAAGCATTTTCTGCAGCCAACCGTTGCGGCGCGCGTACCAATTCACGGCTCATTTCTGCCGAGGGGTCTGTCTAGTCTAGTGTAGAGCATTGCAGCCACAATCACATGCCGTTGTAGTTTGTGTTCCTATGAAGCAGATGTGCTTGCACGAATCACAGCAGGCTTGGATGTTCATGACGACTTCCGAGGGATCGTAGCAAACTTGGAAACGTTTAGGGGATCACTTGTGTTTTCGTTCATGCGTTTTGTTTTGCAATTAAGTTATCGCAAAACGGAAAGCGGACATAGAACGATGTCGGCACTGGTGCGAATCACCACGGGCCGCGGCCCAACCTCGCCGGTGCCGCGCTTTATATTTCAATATCGTTGTCCATGCACTGAGGCATCATGCCCCAGCACAGCCGAGTCGGGATGACGAGAGCAATGGCACAGTTCGGCGAGGTGGGATAAACAAACCCGGCCTGTGCAACTTCGTTGCCGCTGATTGGATGAGGTCATTCACTGCCACAAGCCGCCCTATTCCGGAATCCCCGGTGAGGCACTTGTTGTATCACTCTTGCGAGACACCTTGGCAAATGAGGGGGGGCGAGAGCGATGGGACAGAGGGCAAGAGTCAGATTGAGACGCAGAGGGACGCAACTGACTAGACCGGTCCTGAAACATGGAGGGAAACCTCAGCAGGAACATGAGACAAGCAAAAGATATCGGAGTTGGGAGGCCAGGGAGGCCAAGGGACCGGGCTTGGGCACTGTTGCAGGACTTTGTCAATGTGCGCTTCGCTTCGCAAGAAGCAGCTGCCGGCAGCCAAGCTGTAGCTCTGCTAGGGTCCGGTCCTGATGGCGCTCGTCACAAAATCACAAAAGCCGCCACCAACCGCAGGACCGTGCATACGCGGCCCTCAAAGCCAGCCAGGTTTTCGTTGATGGCTTCCCGGCTACTCGGATCGCGAATGCATCGCAGAGCACTCTTTTGGACCTGCAGATTTTCAACCTCGCCGCCAGGTCGGGGTTGGTCCAGCAGGCGGGCCCAAGGGCAACGATGGTCTTTGCCTCAGAGAAGCGTCACGGGGGTGCTTGGGTATGTCATCGTGTGGGAGCCCAGGCCCGCCGGCGATCTCCAACTCCGGCCCACCCAGGACAGTGCCGTCCGAATCGTGTAGTTCCTGAAAGTCTGACAGAGTGGAAGGCGGCCTCGCAGTCGTAGCCCGCCACGCCTCTACGGCCGGAACCGTGCGCGGTCCCCCGTGCGCCGCAGCCCGGAGCGTCGGCGCCAGAAACTCGGAGAGTATCGGAGTGTGGAGGTCTCGAACTCCTTGACATTTCGACGCAGCGGCAGGCCCGAGCCCCCCACGGCGGAAGAGGAGCCCTTCAGATGCCGGTATCCCAGGGTGCCCGTCTACTTGCAAGCTGCTGGTTCTGGTGGACATGGTGGTGCGACTTTTAGATGAGGCCCCGCGTGCAAACTTTCCATCCCGGAACGACCCGAAAAGCCCGAGCCCTCGGCGGCTGGTGAGGCGGAGACTGGGCTCAGGGTTGAGTTCAGGGTTTAGGGATCGGCTGTGACCAGGGAAATGGGCCGTGGCGGTGGGCCCCGGTCGCGGAGCCGCTCCCGCGCACGGGACCGGCGCCGCGAGGAGCGCGCCAGCGAGTTCTCCGGAGGAGAACCCGTCTTCGCCTCGTTGGAGCCCCTCCCAGCTGGAAGCTCCTTTTTGGGAGGACCCGGCATGATGATGCTGAAGAACAAGAAAGAGCGAACACCGTCTCCGGACCCTCCTGGGCCGATGAAAAATCCAAACCCAGCTGCGAGCTCGGTGAGTCATGGTGCGTCACGAGGATTCGGTTTCGCGCCTGCGCCCAAGGTGAAGAATCCCTTCTTCAGGGCCGACAGGCAGCGACCTGCCATGTCGCGTTGCAGGGAAGTGGAAGCTTGATGTGGGCATGCAGGAGCCCCTCTCCCGTGGCTGCATACTGACCTAGCGATGCCAAGTGGCCCATGGCCGTACCAAGCTATCTATCCGCCTCCAACGAAAGGTGCGAGCGGGAAAGAAAGAGATGATTTGAGCATGACTTCCAAATTTCATGAGGCGCTCATGTCTGAAACCCCCTTCACCGATCAAGCATTTGTCGTTCGTAAGAACTCAGGGAGACTGCTTACCGGAGCTGCAGACTGTGCTTCTGAGGTCTGAGTATGTCTGAGTCAGAGATGTCCTGAGTCTCAAGTCGGCAAACATCACTAGCCTCTCGCAGCAGCTGTCTCCTAGTTTTGCGGAGCCATGTTGCAGTCGGCATTGCTGCTGGCAGTGCCCGTGCCTTGTTGCAGCACGTTCTTTCGTTTGGAGAAGGTTCTCGCCCCCCGCTGCGAAACGAGGCTGCCGGTGTTGCCCGTGGCCGCTCCGGCTTTCTCGAAGGAGCCGGCAGAGTTTGGTGATCTGAGCTCGGCTGTAAGAGACAGGAGAGTCAGAGGTGGGAGGGGCGCCGCAGCCTCAGAGCGACATGCGCTTTTTGCCTTGTGGCCGCAAGCTGTGCGAGCTTTGGTCTCGAGGAGCTGAGGGCCGAAGGCAGCGCCAGCGGCTGCAGCGGCATTTGGCCGCCGAGAGCCGCCGCTCGGCGGCCGAGGCCACGGCCCGCGAGGGCCTGGAGCTCGCGCTCCACGGGGAGCTGACGCAGCTGCGCCAGCGGCTCCTAAGCTCCCAGCGCCGGGCCGGGGGCCCAGCAGTTCGCCCCCGACACGGCCTCCGTGTGTCTTTCCGAGAGAGGTCTGGTCCGCGGCCTCGCCAGAGGAGCTCCAGCAACTCGCTCTCTGCGCTGCTTTCTCTTCGCTTCTTGCGGCGGCCTGTGTTCAAAAGCTGAGGCTGCAGGTGGTGTTAAGCCGATGGCCTCAGGGCAGCGCGTTCTTGCAGGCGGCGGAGGCAAAGTCCCTCACCTCCATAGGCGGGGCCTGCACAAAGCGGTGAGCAGACGACAAACAGAGCTCTTTGCAGGTATGGTCCTGACGGGTGTGCAGAACCTTTACAACACCTTCAAAGATGATTGGAGCGAGCTGCAAGACAGCCTCGAACAGCTTCGCAAGGAGCGTCAAGCAGAGCAATAATGAGTTTCGCACGAAGTGAACTTGATCTGAGGAGTTGGCGAGTCAAAGCCTTCAGATGGTGGTGAACTTGGAAATTGCCCAAACCTTACAGACATAATCACACGTTATCACGCGCTGCGAAACGGTGTTGTTGTGGCATACTTGTGTGGGTTTCTCTTGCAGGTGCTGAAGCAGGCGCGGGATGCCGTGCTTTGCGGTTGCACCGGCTGACTGGCGTAGATTCTCAAGCTTGACCTGAAGCTTTCAGGACATGCAAATGTGCACAACGAAGAGTCTCCGCGTTTGCTTCAAGCAGTTACACTTGAGTCATTGAGCGAAGCTGCAACAAGCCTGGGCAGAGCTCCACAAGCCTGAACCGTCCCCCTGCAAAGTTCTCGACTCCTAACCTACCGCTTCGCATCGGGGTTAGACATGCACTTGAAGGTTGATCGAGTGGTGACTGAACACATGCCAGATGCCAGCAAGGTGAGCCAATGTCCCCAAACGCCTCCCGCGTTCTATGCAACTGTCATGTCGTTCATAGGCACACTTCCAGCGATTGTATAGTACCGCATTGTTGTTGGTGTCTTGATCATGTTCTTGTATCCATGTGTGGTTTGGTCCGGGCTTTGATTTCTTCTATAGCATCAACATTGATGAATTGAGCTTGCTTGACCATTGTCTTGTTTCGAGACGGACTTGCCATGACATGGGTTCGTGTTTCAGAAGACGTGCTGCTGCAATGCTGGATAACGCTGAGAGCTAGAGCAGCGGCGTGCTCTCATCAGGCGGCGGTTCTGCTTGGGCTGTTGCAGGGCCTCCCGAACTTTGCGAGCTGCCTTCAGGAGGCTCTGGCGGATGGGCCCAGGTGTTGACTCGGTTTCATTTTGCTCGAGGCCCTCAGTGACAAGCGAGAGTCGAAAGATGTCCTGGCAGCAGCCCCAGACAAGCGCATTTTGCCGAAGATCTTCGGCTTCTCCCCTCCCGGCTGAGCTGGACTAAGGTGCGGGCTTCTACGTTTGCAGGAGCCTAGGGCCCTAGGGGTGTAGATCGCGCCTGGGAGCAGCATCTCAGCCCCTTTGCAGGAGAATCTTTTGACGCCGAAGGCAAAGGGGAAACGAAAGGGAGCCAGCGAGCCATAGCGAGCCCCTTTTTGCTGCACTCCACAGAGCAGAGGACTCCTTGGCATCAAGCTGAGAAGTCTCCTGGCGGAGGCCAGGGACATGAGGAAGATCGTGGAGGCCGCGCGGGCGGAGAGCAGAGAGCGGAGAGCGGCGGGAGCGCTGGGCACAGCGCCCGCCGCGCCAGGACAGCGAGCTCTCGCAGGAGACGCCCTTGGACTGGTGCCTGGGGATTCGAGGCTCCTGGGTGATCAACGGCCCGGACCCCTGCGAGCTCCTCGCCCGGCACCCGGAAGAGCAGAGCTCGGCCGGAGTGATGTGCAGAGATGTGCAGAGTGTGCTTCGACGGGGTCGCCTCGCGAGGTCCGATCCTTCGACAGCCTGGAAGGCGCCCCCTCCTCTCTTGTGCCTTTTGGGACTCTTTGTGAGTTTTGGCTTCAGGTTGGTTGTCGGAGTGGCTGGAGAGTGGACGGCCTCAGGAGGTCTTCCGTGAACTTCAGATCAGGCAGCACTGGCGACCTTCCAGAATCTCTCGCATTCGGGGGCTCGCGCATGCGTCGGTCAAGCATGCCCAGCATGCCCAGCCCACGCCAGTCTTTCTCTTCATCCGGCGGGGATAAAGTCCTGACCGGTAGTCCGGTACGGTGGGTTCGTCTTCCAGTTTGGCCATTTGGGCTCGTGACCTTTCGACACTTGTTCTGCATTCCCACTCGCGTTATGTTGTGGCGGCCCATTCTCCGGTAGGCAGTTCGCCACTGCCCCCAACATCAGCCGTGGCTCGGCTCAGAGGTGTTCTTTAGAGGGAGCCGTGCCTGGCCCCTGCGGCAGGCATTGAAGAACTCAGTCAGCTCCTCCATCGCACCGCTGAGCTTTGCACCGACAGCGCTGTTTGCGCTTCAACTCCGGATGCTGAGCTTCTCGAAACCCTTCAGGCGGTTCAGTCCTCAGCCGACACAGCGATGCTTGTTGCTGCTTACTGCTACTTCTCGGGCTGCGCCGGCACAGCGCGGAGCATGCTTCGGAGATGCAGAATCGTCTCAGATGTGTTCTTTTTCCTGCGAGTTTGGCCAGCATTCAACTTTCGCTCTGCTGTTAGCAGTCTTGGCAGACTTTGCGCAAATGCCCAGGTAGCACATTTGGACGAGAAGGAGGTGGAGAAGGAAGTTTAATGGGATGACAGTAGGTGGTTGTACATGTCAGCAACTCGTCACACAGTTTAAAGCCTGAGGGTTGTCGACATTTAGGCGCAATCGAAGCCTGCATCCGTTGTGCAGGCGTCGTGCTGCGAGTGCAGGCATGTGTGGAGACCAACTCCCGTAACAGGAGCACGGCCTTCTTGCGGAGGCCGTTGTCACCCAATTCGGCCCGTCTGAAGGCCGGGAATGTCACCGGTGGTTTCATGGTTTCTTGCAAGTGACAGGCTTGCATGCCATCGATGCAGAAGCGGAGCTCGCTAGGCAGGAGGAGCGTAGACTGTTTACTTTGTAAGGATTGTGCCTTTGGGACTTCTCGTGTGGGTGTGTTCTCGTCAGCAACGCTTTTCATGCCCGTGCTTGGCATGGCTCTGCTGTGAACGCTTCCAGGGTTTGGCGATCTTGAAATTGGTTGTGTTTGCATCTGGTGGTCATTTCTACTATCTCCCGTGGTGATCGTCAACAAGTTGCGGGTAGATGATGCCACGATGTGCAGTGCGACGAAATCGGAGAGAACGATTCTGAACCATGAGCCGCAGATCACGACGTAGGTGAATTGTCGGGCCGGTAGGGAACACGGATTGAGATCCTCATCGGCTTTCTAGACTCCTTGTTTGGACACCAATGATGGAATAGGTGGGAAACAGATCAGCCGTGGCTTGTCAATATAATGACATCTTCGATCCCCGAATTGCAGACGTTCTGACAAGTGTTGATCTATATCCACCGAGCTTCGGTGAGGGGAGTCATGATCCGTGTAGACTTCAGGGTACAGTCTGACAGTTTGGGGCGCCGTCTGATGGTCTGACGGGTCGTTTGGCTGAGGCCAGGGCTGCTTGGGTTGGTGCGGCGTGCGATCTCTGCTCAGTGGGTCTTCGAGATGGGTTTGTTGGCTGTGGCGAGCTGGGGAGATCGCCTGAAGCGCCGGGGGAACGGCCTGCAGAACCGCCTCGCGCTGGTCAAGAGCTCTTTGGAGGACCTCCACGCTCCTCGGCTCAGAGTTTTTGTTCGGCTCGGGGCCGGTGGCCGTTGTCATCCCTTCTGCCATCTTCTCTTCCTTTTCTGAGTCCCAGCTGCGCGGCTTGGCATCCTTCCGGCGCCTGGCCTTCGAGGAGATCCACTCGGCTGGCTGGTGGGGAAGGACTGGGCGCAGAGCACAGACTTGGCCGGCTTTCGCAGAGACTCTTTCGCTTTCCTTCCTTTGCCAGGTCCGGCTCGGGCTCTTCCAAAGAGCACACGGCCCAGATCGCGGCCCGGCTGGTGCAGTTCTTGGCCCACGTTCAGCCAGGTCGCTCTCATAGAGAGAGCAGAGGAGGGGCCACTTTCAAAACGCAGTCTTGTGGCGCTGCTTGGGTTTCTTTGTGTCTTCTGGAGGCGGCGCGGGCTCGCTTCTGGACGTTGGCTGTGGCTGGGGAGAGCCTGGGGGCCCTGGTTTCTTTCGGAGAGAACCGTCCGGCACCCGCCTTCCTATTTTTCAGGTGGGTGCCGGAGGCCCTGGAGGCCGGTTTGGCCTCCGGGGCGCTCCGCAGGGGCCACTTCCGCTACCTGGGCCTGGACATCGCCTTCCAACCCATCGAGCCGCTCGCCGGCCGTGTCGGAGCTCGGGGGTGTCGCACGCCGGCGCTGAGAACCGCGAGGCACCTGCGCCGGAAGCACCGCGACAGTGAGCTTCGCTTCGAGGTGGCGGACGGCGTGGAGGAGTAACAGCGAAAGGGCAAGTGATTCAAGGGGCAGTGGGGCTTGCTTATGCATGGTGGCCTGTCGTTCGAGTTCACGAGACAACGTGTCTGCCCGTACACTTTTACCGGGGGGGGGATGCTCTCATTTACGTTTTGTCGAGGCGCAGCCTCTAAAGATGGACAAATTGACACTGTTGTCACTGTCGTTTGGGGTACTGTGGTAGACAACTGCACATCCAGGATCAACTTTGGTCATTAATCACGAAAGCTCCTCGTGAGGGAG